TTTTTTAATTGGACAATAAATAAGGAAGGCCATAGAAGAATTGGTGCGTTTAAATTATGATGTTGGTAAAGAATATTGAAAGTATCATGGACTGCTGGAAGAACAAATAAATCTGTCTTGTGAGAAAAACAGCCAGATGCTCCTTAGACGCAAGGATAGTGAGACTCCGTCTTTCTTACTTTGGACCTGTTGTCAGGAGGGACCTGTTCCTGGAGAAGGGACTCATGTGATCTTGCTGTGAGCATTCCAGTGGTTACCCTACAGCACCACCTGACTTGGACCCAAATACATACAAATAAAAATTGGGTACATGAAAATGTTGCTCAAATCGCTGGACAAAGACATGCTCTTTAATAAATGGCATTGGGAACACTTGATAGTCATTTGGAAGAAAAAAAGATCCAAGCAGATCTGTCTCTCACACCATAAAATCCAAAAACCAAACCTGTGGCCATCAAGTCCATACTGACTCAACAAGAATAAATTCTAAGTGGAGCAGAGAGTTGAATGTAAAAAAAAAAACACAAAACAACTAAACAAGAACTGAAAGGAAACTGGAAAATTCCTCTATATCCAAGGTATACAGAAAGGCTTGCCAATGGCTAAAAGCCCAGACCAGTAAAAGAAATGGCTAATAGTTTAGTTACATAAAAATAAAGAATTTCTCATAGGGAAAAATAACTACATGGAAACAATGTCAAAGGCAAATGGCAAAATGGGGGGAAAATATTCAAAATATGTATCAGAAATAAAGGGCTAGTGCCTTTTATTTGTAATTAGCTTTCAAAATTGAAGAGAGGCCAAAAGTCCTGTAAAAATGGGCCAACGACATGAAACAACAAATCACAAAAATAAAGAGGTTTGAGAATGACCTTTCACAAACACAGCAAGATGTTCAAATCCATTCACAATAAGAGATCTGCAAAGGAAAACAGAAACATCATGTCCCATCCATGTTGCTGTTAAGTGCCATTGAATCAGTTCAGGTTCGTAAGGACCCTGTATAGGGTTTCTGAGGAGCTGCTGGTGGGTTTAAACTGCCAATTTTGTAGTTCAAACTGACCATACAGTCCAGTGCTTATCCACACCAGGACTCCTTTCCCATCCATGAAATTGGCAAAAAGTCAATAGCTTAACAAATCCCTTGTTGGCAAGGTTATGAGGAAGCAGGCACTTTCATGAGTTGGCGTTAAAGTTTGTGACATCTAATAAAACTATTCATATAGTTACCCTTTCGCTCAGGAATCCTAATGCAGAAAGTGGTTCTGAAGCTACACCGTCACAATGATAAAATACGCAGGCACAAGATTACTCCTTGCAGCATTATTTGTAATGAGGAACTACTGGAAACTGTCATAATGCCCAAACATCAAAGATGAGTTGATCACACTACAGCACAGATACCAAATAGTGCATTTTGCAGATGTAGGAAAAGTAACGGGACTTCGGGTTTCAATTCTGATGTGTAACGAGCCTAGCAGCTATCATCCCAGCCTCGCACACACAGAGAAACGAACAAAAACCATTAAACTCTTAAAGAACAAAGAAACCAGTGAACCCAGTAAAAACTCACTCCTCCCAGGTCCATTCTAACCCATAATGACCCTGTAGGACGGAGTAGAACTTTCAGAGGGCATAAATGTTAATGGAAACTGACTCATCTTTCTCGCGAGGAGCAGCTGGTGGGTTTGAGCTGCTAAGCTTGAGGTTAAAAGTCCAACGCTTAACCCACTGTGCCACAATGTCTCCTCAAACCAGTGGGCAGGGGGCAGGGAACTAGGCAAGAATCACGCCAACTCGTAAGAAGACACAAAATACAGTGTGTGGATGGGGAGCTTTGATAACCTGAATTAACGCTTTGGATCTAATCATGTCTGAGATTGCCATATTTCAGGTTTCCCTAGCTTGCGGATCTCTTTGCTTTTTTACACAGGGATCTTGTCATCAGCCATCAACAGAGTCCTGACTCAGACCAGGAGGAGACAGTAATAAACCGCACCATGAGTAACAAGAAGAATTAAAACAAGCTTCTGTGAAAATGAGTAGATAGAAGAGTTCTCTTTCTTTTGGAAACATCAGAATAAAAGGGACATTTGGGCTAATACTTAAGACATGGGTTAAGCTTTGGTTTTCTTTTTAAGATTTTATTGTGAATTGAGTGATAGTTTAATGGGAAAACATCAGTTTTACACTCACCCTATCATATTTCATTGCATTGCAAAGACTGCAATCATTTCCATACATCATCATTCAATAGTATCAGATTCTATTTCCTCTGGGGTGTTTTTTTTTTTTTTTTTTTTGTGTGTGTGTGTGTGTGTGTGTATGTATGTTTGTTTTGGGGATGCACACAAAAACACTCAGGAATATATAATCATTTAAACAACCAAAGGGCACATTCTCCAAGCCTGCCTCCTGGCCACCAGCACACAGCCTTTCTCTTCCCATGAGTCTAGAGTCCTCAGCTGCTCTCTCTCTCCATGTCATCATCTCTGCCTCCATCTCTGGTGCTGCTGCTTCTCTGGATAAGGTCCCAATTCTATTTGTGTGTTCCTCTCTTGATGGTCCTAGGGTCCTCTGTTCCTGGACTATAAGATTAACTACTCCTGCATTTTTGTTACAAAACTTATACCTTTACAGTTGTGACAATTGCAATTAGTCGTGATAACAATTACTGACTATTGAATCAGACATAAGTTAAGTCTTGCTAAGAGAACATCTGGGTAGAAAGAACCATACATAGCAAAGTGGAAGTGACCATAAAAGTGTCCAAATTTATAAATATATAGCACAACATTTTGGGAATGAAAACTAAAAAGGGAAATTTGGCCTAGTCACTGGGGAACCTTGAATCCCAGCAGAATATCCAAGCATTATTGCTTAGCTTCTAGTTGTGATGAAGTACCATTGAGTCGGTTTCCAAGGAGACACTGGTTAGAGTTTCCAAGGACCTTGCAGTTAGCAGTCCACGCCTCACATGGAAAATGTTATATGGTAGCTCAGGAGTATGGCTAAGGTTGAAGACTCAGATTATTCTGAGTTTTTGGAGAATTTACAGCTCAAGTCTTCAGGGTATCTAAATCACCCATTAATAATGGTTGTTGTTGGTGGTGGTGTCAGTTGGCCCTAGGTTCATGGAGACCCCATGCAAAACAAGAGGAGATCATTGTGAGCAGTAGGATTTACATTGGCTGGGTTTCTGGAAGTAGATCATAGGTCAGGACTTTTGCCCTAATCTGTCTTAGTCTGGAAGTTCTGCTGAAACTTGTTCAGCATCACAGAGACACACAAGCCTCAACTGGCAGATGGTAGTGGCTGCTGTGCTTGAGGTACATTGGCTGGGGATTGAACCCAGGTCTCCTGCACTGAAGGCAAGGATTCTACCACTGAGCCACCACTGTCCCCACAAATCATGGTAGCTGGTGGATATTGGGTGCATGTTCAGTGTTATGCATTGTGTAATGTATGGTGATTTCATGGCTTTATTTAATACTTTGAGAAACGTTATAATGTAGATACTATTTTTACCTCATTTTATTGTTGAAGGAAACAAGGCTTACCACGTTAGGTGATCAGTTTGAAGTCCCAAAACAAGCTAGTGCCAAAGTCAGGACTTGGATGTATCTTCACTCTAGGGTACTAGCTCTTAGCGACCATGCAATTTTGCATTCTCCAACAGAAGAATGTAGGAAAAGGAAAAGGGCAGATAAAAAATCTTGAGAAGTATCTATCAGAAGGAGGGATTTATCCACTTCTAGGTCTGGTGGTGTGGTGGTGTAGGAGAAACGTGGACTGCCAACCACAGGATCAAACTCATCAGTCACTCCTTGGAAACCCATACAGGGTCTTTAAGAGTCAGGACCAACTCAATGGTGCTTAATAACAACAACAAAGTTCAGATGGGTCTCAGGGTCTCCAGATGACATTTGAGAGTAGAGAAGTGGGGGGGGGAGGAATTATTTGGTATATTTCCATTACTGTCTCTTATACTCTTCTTCCAATACCAATCGTGACTACCAACTTCCTCTCCTACTCCCAGGTACCTTTTTCATGATGTCTCTATGTTTTTATAAAGTAGGTCAGAGTCTCTATCAATCAACACATCTGAATTACACCATGAAACAAACCTTTCTCCCTAATATAAAACATGAAATTTAGGAGGTTAGAGAGTGCAGCAACCAATGTTACATCAATTGACCTTTGCTAATATTGTTGTGTGTTGTTGAGTAGATTTCAACTCATAGCAACTCTACATGATGGAGTAGAACTGCCCCATAGGGTTTCCTGACCTTGAGGTTAGCAGCCTAGCTCATAACCTCTGTGCTACCAGAGCTCCTTGAAGAAGTTAGTAGGCTTCTTCATTTTCATCATCACTGGCTTTAGTGGTTGATGTGTAAGGTTGAGTAATCATTGCATTAATTGGTCTTCCTTGTAAGGGTATGGATATTATCTTATCACAAAAAGTGTTGTACTTCACCCTATCCAGAGAAGCAGTGACACCAGAGATGGAGGCAGAGATGATGACATGAAGAGGTAGAGCAGCTGAAGACTCTAGACTCGTGGAAAGAGAAAGACTGTGTGCTGGTGGCCAGGAGGCAGGCTTGCAGAATGTGCCCTTTGGTTGTTTAAATGATTATATGTTCCTGAGTGTTTTTGAGTACATCAAAAAAACAAAACACAACATAACCCCAAAGGAAATAGAAGCAAATACTGTTGACTGATGATGAATGGAGGGGATTGTAATCACAGTAATGAAACAAAATATGATAGGATTAGTGTAAAAATGATGTTATCCCATGTAAACTATCACTCAATTCACAATAAAAACTTTCAAAAAGTGTTGTACTTCAAGACAGATCTTGATATGTTTTTTTTGATGGTGAATGTGACGCCATTCCTCTTCAATTTGTCATAGTAAATCATGTGGTTGTCAGATTCAAAATGGCCAATATCAGTCCATTTCAGCTCACTAAAGCCCAAGATATCAATGTTTATGTGTTCCATTTTATTTTTCACAATTTGTGCCCATATTTATTTGTTCCATATCTGTGCCTATTCCAAAGAAAGGTAACAGAATGCAGAAACTGTCAAACAATATCATTTATATCACATACAAGTAAAATTTTGCAGAAGATAATTTAAAATGGTTGCAGCAGTAAATTGACAAGGAGCTGCCAGGAATTCACGTAGATTCAGAAGAGGATGTTCAATGAGGAATATCATTGTTGATGTCAGATGGATCTTGGCTGAAAACAGAAAGTACCAGAAAAAAACAAACAAACAATAACTGGTGCTTTGTTGATGATGCAAAAGCATTTGATTGTGTGGATCATAACAAACTATGGATAGCATTGGGATTAATGTATGGAAAAGTGAAGGGTTATTGAAAAAGAGGAAGACTCCCAACTACATGTATTGGCACAGTGGCAGCAGCAATGGGCTCAAACACAACAATTGTGAGGATGACGCAGTACCGGGCAGTGCTGCGTTCTATTGTGCATGGGGTCCTGATGCATCAGAACTGACTTTATGGAACTTAGCATCAACAACAATGAAGTACATAAAGACAGCCTCTCAGAGAATAATGTCAAAGCATGAGCAATGGACAGGCAAAGAACGGCTGGATAGCATAACCACTATAATGCAAGTGAAAGAAAAATTTAAACATTTTAAATAATATAAAGACTAGGATTACTTTCCTACCCATCTATCATCACTTAAAGAGTATCTATGAGAAAAAAAAAAAAAATCTATAGATTCTCATAGAAGAGGACTTAAAATACTTACTGATGAAGATCAAAGACTACCGTCTTAGGTAGGGGTTGCACCTTAATGTAAAGAAAACAAAAATCCTCACCACTGGACCCATAAATAACATCTATATAAGTGGAGAAAAGATAAATGTTGTCCAAGACTTCATTTTGCTGGAATCAATTATCAACACTGATGGAAGCAGCAGTCAAGAAATCAAATGACGTATTGCATTGGGCAAATCTGCTGCGCAAGACCTTTTTAAAGTGTTGAAGAGCAAAGATGTCAGTTTGAGGACTAACATGTGCCTGACCCAAACAATGGTATTTTCAATAGCCTCATATGCATGTGAAAGCTGGACAGTGAATAAGGAAGGCCATAGAAGAATTGATGCCTTTGAGTTATAGTGTTGGAGGAGAATATTGAAAGTGCCATGGGCTGCCAAAAGAACAAACAAATCTGTGTTGGAAGAAGTGCAGCCAGAGCGCTCCTTGGAGGCCAAGATGGCCAAACTTCGTCTCTCATACTTCGGACATATTGTCAGGAAGGACCAGTCACTGGAGAAGGAGATCAAGTTTGGTAAGGTGGAGGGTCAGAGAAAAAGAGGAAGACCCTCAAGGAGATGGATTGGCAAAGTGGTGGCATCAATGGGGTCAAACGTAGCAAGAATTGTGAGGTTGGCCCAGGATCGGGCAGTGTTTTGTTCTGTTGTACACGGGGTCACTATGAGTCGGTACTGACTCGATGGTACCTAACAACAACAATATGAGAAAAATATGTAACAGAACCTCATATTCCTAGATAAAATTTCCAACAGACCTACTGAGCTGCAGGAGACTGGAGGACACCCCGAGACTATCACCCTGAAATGCTCTTCAAACCTTGAAACAAAGCTAACCCCTGAGAAACTTGCCTGGTGGGCACGTGGATCTGTTTCTTGCTTCAACAGTGTTTGGACAGAACAGATCTGGGACTCCCCACCTCCAGCTTTGGACCACTGCTAACCTCCTCTTTAGCTACAATCTCTTCTCCAGGACCACCTTCTTGGTCATTCGCTGTTACTGGGACCAGTTAAACACCTTTGTTTGTGTGTGTGTGTGTGATTAGCTCCAAATTTTGGACTAACCATGAACTCTCAGATCGATTGGAATTATTCCACAGAAGTGAAGTCTGGTGTCAACCGTCTGGTCAACCTGCACCTGAGGGCATCTTACACCTACCTCTCTCCAAGCTTCTATCTCTATTGCGATGATGTGGCCTTGGAAGGCATGGGACACTTCTTCCACAAGTTGGTGAAAGAGATGCATGAGGGCACTGAGCATCTCTTGAAACTGCAAAACCAGCGTGGCGGCTGTGCCCTCTTCCAGGACCCACAGAAGCCGTCCCAAGATGAGTGGGGAGGAATCCTGGATGCCATGGAACCACCCTGACCCTGGAGAAGAACCTGACCCAGTCCCTTCTGGATCTGCACGCTGTGGGTGCTACCCACACAAGACCCCCCACCTCTGTGATGTTCTGGAGAACCATTTCCTCCAGGAGGAGGTCAACATTACCAAGAAGACAGGTCACCACCTGACCAACCTCTACAAGGTGGCCGGCACCAGGTGGGGCGGGGCAACTATCTCTTCCAGAGGCTCACCCTCAAACATGCCTAGGAGCCGGTGGGGCCCAGCAACTTGTGAGAGGCCTTCAGACTGCCCCTGCCCTCCTCAGACCTTCTGCCTGAACCTCCCCTCTAGCCACAGACGCAGCATTGCCACCACCCTAAAGCCCCTCTTCTCCCAAGCTGTGGACCAAATGAAAACAATAAAGCTTCTTTTTACAGCAAAACAAAACAAAACTCACCCCTGAGGTCACCTTGTAGGTAAATAATAAATTGGCTCAAGAAATAATAACTACCACCTTTAAGTACTGTGCGCCTTTAAAAAGTCACTTATACGAGACCAAACAGTCTACAATGACTTTAACACAAAAGTGAGACTATAAGCAGATAGGGAAACTAGATTAATGGAGACAGAGCCACCAGAATGGAAATAATGAGAATGTTTACACATTGTGAAGAATGTAATCCATGTCGCTGAAAAGTATGTTTAGAAATTGTTGAATGGGAACTGAAACTGTTGAGTAAACCTCCATTGAAAAGACATTAAAATATTACTTTAGAGAGAGAGACATGGAGAATCTGAAAAAGGAAAATGCAGAAGAATGGAAATGCAAAAGACAGAAGTGAGACTGGAAGAAACTAATAAAATATATTGGTGGATCCAATGTGATGTTTATTAACTGCAAGAAACTTACTCTTGGGACTTAAAAAGCATGAGATTAATCCATAAATAAAATGGGGAATGTGGCTGGTAGGGCTGGATTTTGCATATAAAAATGGTTGAACTAAAAAAAAAAAAAAAAAAAAGGTTGACCTAGCAAATGAAATAAAATAATAACAACAACAACAAATACGGTGGGAGATTCAATGAACAAAGTACAATGCCATCCTTGTCGTACTCTGTAGGAAGACAGTAGTCCTGGGTCCTGTTAGATTATATTGTTGTTTTTAAGCGCTATCGAGTTGGTTCTGACCCATAGCGGTCCTGTATAGGGTTTCCAAGGAGTGGCTGGTGAGCTTGAACCACCAACTTAGCAGTTCAAACCA